GGGATGAAGCACGAGCACATTCTTTATACCCGAGCGCCGCTGTCCCGAAGGAACCCCGAATAAGCAGGAGACAAAACTGCTTCCTCAAAACAACGCTCTAGGATAACTGAAACCAAGCCAGCTTCTAAGAAACGCCCTTTAAGACACCGCTGTATCTTTCTCTCTTCAGTGACGGTGCAAACAAGGCCACTTATACGTGACATTCATCAGACACGGCATCGCGCCAGGTCCCGACCCTCCCCGCTCCGCCACCGCTCCCCGCGGGCCGCAGGCACAGCTCAGCCGTCCCGAGCCGACGAGAGGCCGGGGCCGTGGGGAGCGCCCCAAGCACGCAGCGCGGGGACGACTGGGGAGGGGAAATGACGAGGGACGCCGGTAGCGCCTCGCTCTCACCGCAGCGCCGTAGCTGAGCGGGGACGGTAGAGGCGACGAGACGGTACCGCTCCGCGCCGCCCGCAGCAGCCCCGGCCTCGCCTTCACTTCCGCCCACGTGACCACGCAGCACGGCTGCCCGGCCGAGGCGCGCGCCCCCTACTGGCGCGGGGGCCGCAAAGGCCGCGGAGGGCGTGCAAGAAAGGGAGGGAGGAGCCAGACCAGAGGGGCGCGGGCAGGGGCGGGGCGGCAGCGGGGTGTGAGTCGTAGAACCGCAAGTCAGTCATTAAGGTCGGGAAAGACCTCTGAGATCTGGTTCAACCAATGACCCGTCCCCGCAGTGCCTGCTAACCACGTCCCTAAATGCAACATCTGCACGCTCCTTCAACACCTCCGGGGACAGTGTCTCCACCACCTCCCTGGGCAGCCCGTTCCAATACATCCCCACTCTTTCTGAGCAAAACTGTTTGCTGACATCCAACCTGACCCTCCCCCGGTGCAACTTAAGGCCTTTACCTCTCATCCTGTCACCTGCGATCCCCTCCTCACCACAACCTCCTTTCAGGTCATTGTGAACAGCGATGAGGTCTCCCCTTATTTTTGTATTGCTTAGAAGCTACTACCGTTTATTCCTTTTAATTCTTCTACAGATTATCGAGGCAGATGAGTGCACTTCTATTACTAACAAATAATTCCTAGCAAAACCATTATCACATCCAGGTGAGTGGCACTTGATATGGTAAACAGCTACCCAAGAGAGAGCGTGATTAGTGAAGAGTACGTAGTCTGGAACTTCAGAGCACACTGAAGACCAAACTGGAGAACAGCTGGAGAGATGCACAGGGCTGATGCACAAGGCTCTTTTTCACTTCAGTTTTATTTTTGGAAGCAATGGATGGCAAATATTTAGTTATTGAATAGATGTTTTTGTTTTCAAGGAGTGAAAGGCTGATGATGCACTGGTGTGCACTCATGGGGAACCATTTACTTCTAGATGTGTATGAAGACATATGGCACGTAAATGAACGCAGATGATCATGGTCCCACTCCATAAAGTGCCATGGGAAAGCTCTGCAGAGCTGATCTTCAAACAGCAGCTTCTGCTGCTAGTGGGACAGCCTCGAGTAGTTCCCACATGCATGATGCTGAAGTGAGCTGGCTCCAAGGTAAGGGAATTTGCTCTTGTGTAAACGACTTTGCATCCCTTCCAAAATTGAAATGTCTTTCTTTACACAGTTTTAAATTGTTAGAATAAAACTACAGTACTTGTCAAATGCCTAACAGTCAGTGTAAGAGCACCAAAAGGAAGTATAGGCAGGAATTAGATTGAAATCTTTGCCTCTGAAATAGCATTACGCCCAGACAGCACAGGACAGGTATAATGTAATTGAAAACACTTTTGAAAGTGGAAGAAAAGGCTCCTCTGAGCTTCTATTGCCTTAGGATCAGCAAGAGAAAAGAGAAGTTGGATCACAGATGCAGTGGGATATTGCGAGAGTTTCATTTACACTCTGCTTGTTACATTCACTTCCAAACAGTGACAGTCTCCCTAAAGAGAAGCCAGTGGGTTTCTTTGAAAAGCCTGAGCTGCCTGTTTCAAGATGTAAATCTCCAGCCAAAGTGAGAGGGGGTGAGCCCTTGTATCATGTATCATGCTCCTTTGTTAATGTTTGCATCATATGGGGAAATTCCATACCAATGTAAGGAAAACCTTCCTTCCTTTGAGGGTGACAGTACAGGAAAGTGTTACCCATGGAGCTTGTGGACTCTCCTCCTCTGAAGATATTCAAAACCCACCTGAATGCTTCCCTGTACAACCTACTGGGGAGAACCTGCTTTAGTTGGACTGGATGATCTTCACAGGTCCCTTCCAACCTCTATGATTACGTGATTGTGTGATTAGTGCCAGCTCATGTTCTATAGCACTCCTGGGGCTTCCTTTTCAGCTGCAGATCTCCTCCCAGCACCCAGAAGTAGATCAAAATGATCACTCAAAATGAGACAAATATAGCACCAACAGATCAGGAAGTCACCAATTGTAGCTGTATTTCAAAAGAATGCTCTGAGGTGTCAATTATTAGAGATTCTACTTTTTTTATTACCATATGAATGATTCTTTCATCCATAAAATAATTCCTTGTGCCAAGTAAGCAAAGAATTTGTTGACTTCACAGAAAACACTGTTAGCTTTACAATAATATATTCAAACAACACAACGTGGCACAATATATAACTATGTTCTGCTTTATACATGCTATTGTAAAATGTCTTTGTACAGCCTGGATGTTGGGCAAATACTTTTTGTAATGATGGATCAAATGCTGGACTGAGTTACCTCAAAGACATTCTGGTAAGAACAACTGCATTTCATAAACAATAATTATAAATACAATCCTTCTCTCTAACAATATTTAGGTGACAAATGTAAGCTGTAAGTTTTCAAAAATTGCTGAAAATTAGTGTTAATCCATATAAACTGCCTTCACAACTGTCAAGGTATAGATAATGATTAAGTTTTGCGTTAGAATGTGTGTAATTTACAAGTCTGGAATAAATATGTAACTTATTAAGATAATCAAATATATGGCCTTTTTATATACAAGCAGTAGGTTAACATTTTAAAAGAAAAGTAGAAAGCTGTACATTTTATACAGTTTTTCAAATATACCCTCACTTATTTGATTTTATTTCAACTGTGAATCCAAAGTACATTTGCACAAATGTTTTCAAAGGTGGGAGTCCATGTGAAAGGCTCCCAAGACCAAGTCATGATCTACTTCCACAAAAAAACCATGATGGCAGTTACTCAGAGAGGACATTAATCAGCTTGTGATTTTCTGGGAGCTATTTACATTTATCAACTTTGGTACTTAGCTGGCTTAATCTAGAGCTACTCTCTCTGTACTCTCTAGGCTGCCAATAGAGAAAGTGAATTTTCTCCTGCAGGAAGTTGTGACCAGAATGGCACAGAATGGTATGGCATTGCTTTCTCTGTTGTCTCTGGGGGGGGGGGGAGTAGCCAGCTAAATCATCTGGGTGACACCAAGAAATATCACTGTGCCTCTTGCTGAAATTGTTCCTCTTCAGCTCTTGGTCAATACAGCTTTAATTCATCCTGCATTTCTACTGTAATATTATACTGTCACAAGTCCAGCTGTTATTTTTCTGTTATGGGTGAGATCTTCCCAACCACTCAGTAGAATCCACCCCACATTCAATGCAAATGTAAATATTAACACACATTTACGTAGTGCACTGAATATGCTAACGTAGCTAGACACTGATGAAAGTTACTCTCCTAATTCTATGATTTTTGAGAAGTCCATCAGTCACCTACAAAGTAATTGTAACTAAACACCAAAAACTACTGCTCATATAGGATTCCCAGTAGTATGTTTGTGAATCCTTCTTTGTTTTTTTGGCTCAAAGCTTGCTTCCTGAGGTATTTCTTGTGATAAGACTCTGAATGATTTGTTAAGGAGGCAAGTGATGGGCGCTAACTGTGTGACAATCGATATCACTTTGGGCACATTTGAAAGCCCCTTCCTCCAGAGCTGCTTGCTCTGTAGAAGAGCGGATGAGAGTGCTCAGGAGTGTTCACTGGCGGAAGATCTGGCCTGTGACTAAACTGCTCCAGCTAGGTGTGGGAAAATTGGGGAATGATACCATCGTGTTCTGTGAGAAACAGGATGCAGATGGGCATCCCTGGTCCCTCTTATCTGCTGGCAAGGCCCGGAAGATGGGAACAAAGGAGTTTCTGCTGAGATCCCAGAGCCAGAAGCTGCCACTCAAAGGAGAGCTGACTCAACCACTTTGAAGCATTGAAAAGGGGCCATCCTCGTCGTGCTTCGTCGCTGTCATCAATAGAACAACTCTGCCTGACGACCCACCACTACTGAAGATCAAAGACTGAACTACGAACCACGCTGGATCCATGGTGGTGACTATGTCCCTCTTGCTTCCTATAAAGACTCCTTGCTTCCTCTTTTCTATCGCCCTCCTTCCCTTCCCCATTACCCTAATTCGTAATAGTGTCCGTCCTCCCCTTCCACATTTCCCTAATTAAGATTTGTAATAAACTGGTCGGACCAACATTTGAACCGTTGTTTCTTAATCTCACGCCGGGTATATAGATAATAAAAGAACCTGCTCTCCCTCCTATAAATTGGAGCGAGACAATGTTGTTAACTTTTAGTCCTGAGGCAGAGAAGAGACATAAACAGGTGCTATTCCCTAACCAGGCCTGTTCATGTACATAAACAAGTTGCAAGAAAGAAACACTATGATGAAAAAAAAAAAAAGTTTTCAAAGGTCTGACAAATAAAATAATTCTGCTTGAAAATATCCATTTTATGTTTCTATGACAATATCATAAGTAATGGAAAGGTCAAAGGGAGCACTTGATATTCAGGAGGAAAAATCACTGTAAGTGCATAGGTAAAAACTGGTCCCACAGTACACAAATGCAAAACTCCATACTTCATCAGGATGAGTATTTGATTCATGTATTTATGCAGGTGTGATCTCTTTAACAGAGTTCTGTATTTCAACACATTTGAAAAATGAAAACATGCATCATTCTTGTGCAAAATTCGTTTTTCTTGCTTTATTTTTCTACTTTAGGATGTAAATGAACTGCAAATGCTCTTAAAATATTTACCAATATTTCTAGCTATTCATGAAAAATGATTTATACCTCTATAAACATATAGCAAACGGTAAACTTATCTTACATTAACAACCACCACTGAACTTAGGAATCACTGTCCTTTTTTTTTTTGAAAGCCTCATGTATTTCTATTTGCCAGTAAGGCCCTTCTAATACATATAAATTAATGGTCAGATGGATATTAAAAAAAAAAAAGAGGTTCCTCTGTGGACTTATAGGTAAAATTAAAAAGCAGATATCACGTATCATTTATTGTTATTTTCATCAGATAATTTATAAAATGCTGGTTAGCAAAATCAACCAGTCCCCTTAATGTTATAAAATACATCTTCAGGACAAAGGACACAAGGAGAGACATAAAAGGTTGGAAGCATAGAAGCATATTCTCATAAGTACTAAACAATCCCTATTGTTGGATGACCAGATCGAATCATCGTTCAGGTAGGTGCTATCAAAGTTCACAATCTTCAAGTCCTTTTTAAGATACGTTTCATTCAGATTGCTTAGCGTTCGAGCAAAGGTGTATTTAGATGCACAACTGTATGCCTCCATACTGTAGACTTTGTGGAAGTGCATATCAAAATATGGATTATCCTAAAAAAAATTGAGAACAAAATTATTACATGCATTATAGACATCAGAATGGCAATTTCTTGTTTTCTGTTTACTTACTTTTAGCGTTTCTTTTTCTCAGTTTTATGGATTCCAAAAAGTATTAGCTATGGACTTTGTGTATTTCTGCTATTCCTATTAAAGAGTCTTGTAAAATTTTACTAATTAACTGTTTATAAGTAGCTGCCTTTCTTTGCCATTATGAGTTTTGCCTAAGTAAAACTTTCAGAGTTTGTCTAAGGAAGACACTGCACTTTATTGTGATTATACAATGCTGTTTTGAAGTGAACCAATTTGTCATGTTGCCTAAAACACACTTGCCTTCTGACTTGCCTGTCAGAAGAAGAATATTGATTGCTCTTCCTGCCCAAACTGTAATTTTGTGTGCTTTCAAGCTCTTGGCACAATTAATACTAGCAACAGCTAAGTTGTATTAAATTCCATGGATATGAATAGCAATATGATGAATATTTATATCAGTGCTAATCACTGTGTAATGAGGAGTTTGAGGCTCATCTATGCTTTTCTGTAACCAAAAATAAGATTTTGAACATCCTAGTTGTTGAAGGCTGAATAATTTCTGAAGTGTATTTGAGTCTTTTAAAAACAAACAAAAAAGAAACCTTAAAAAAAAAAAGTTGAAAGTGAATGAGTCCATGTAGGCAAACAATAAGTAATCTTCTGGCTGCCTTATCTGGTAAAGGGATAGGAACATCTCCAGCTGCAAGATAACTTGGAGAGTACATAAAATATTATTAGCTTTGGCTATTTTCCCCTCTGGCTTAAGCTGCAAAGAGTTCGCGTGATTCGTGGATACTCTGAATCTGATCTCACCTCCACAGTCTCTTAGGTTTCTAGTTTTAGAGTTGAGAGCAACGCACAAGGGACTGCAGACAGCTGCAGAGATTGTGGCTTTTTGAAAAGAGAACAGTTGTCAGGATGGAATGAGTACAGCTGGAGTCTGTCATTTTTCCTTGAATCAAGACTGACGCCCCTTTTGTAGGCTCTTGATTTCTACGTCATCAGGACAATATAATCTCAATTCTATTTTATGTTCATTTGAAACATAGAAGGTAAAAAAGTAATTTTCTCCGAAACGACATTTTATATGCATGGATGCCTTATAACACTTTATAAAGTTATAAAGTTATAAAGTTATAACACTTTATCTACAGTAAGACATTATCTTCAAAGCACTCTTATAGCTTCTGTAAAATAGAATTTAATTCTACTTTTGGTGTTTTGTATAAAATTGTATATTGTATTGCAGCCTCATTTACCCTTCTGTAATTGAATCTGAGAGATTATGACTTTTTTAGCAGTAATATCAATCATAGCTAGCCAAAGCTGTTTGATTCAGTTATTCAACTGATGCAAGTAATGTAAATGAAATTTAAATTACGTGAAAGATGATGTTTTACATATTGATACAATTTCTCTTTGCTGTACAAACAACAAGATCCTAAATTCAAATGGAAGGAGTCTCCAAAAACATGTTTTCAAATACACTGATCTCAATTCAAATTTACACCAGGAATTGCGTGTTGTGAATCTTTGTTCCCAGTTACAATGAACAAATGAGAAAACATCCAGATTGTCCCTCAGATCTCAACAGGAGAGATGAAAATTAAAATAAACAAGAAAATCTCTCTTTCTCCCCACACCTCAAGCAATATAAATATAAATGCAATCTGGACCCTCTCGCATGCAATAAACTCAAAAAACCATGGAGGCTTTTTGTTTTGTGTTGTTAAAAAAAAAGATAATCAGATAACGTCCTTCAAATGCATTTCAATACTTGTATTCCAACTTGCAACACAATAGAATTATATTCTGTGTATTTAATAATACATAACACTTACAGTATCTGCTTCTTTTCCATCAATCATCTCCAGATCTTTTAAAAACCACTTTTCAACTACTTCATATTTCTCTTCTTGATCTCGAAAGTGTTTTACCATACATATTTCTACTTCTTCACTTTTAGACACTGCAAGACAAAAATAGTTATGATATGCAAGCAAATACTTCCCCAAAGTTCTAATAATAAAATACTTAAACTTCATTTAAAATAAAAATTTAAATGACAGTATGAGTAGAAATAGGCCAGTGTTCTCAGCCTACGAAACCTATCTGTCTTAAACAGATTGAGTGTTTAGCTTCCCCATCCTGTGAAAAGGCAACCTTACCACTGCAAAAGCCTCTGGTTTGAACTCACCAACAGTGCAGTGAAGGCCCAACTCCAGCACTGGAACCGTGAGGATAATCCACATATCCTGATTACTTTGATGGTGAATCCTTTGGGGTACTGAAGTCAGAGAATTGCCAAATCACTACCAAGGCTCTTGCGAGTATGACTGCTTTCTGTTCTGAGGATGACGTTCTCTTACGGACTTATTTTTAAACAAAACTCTTACTTCCCTATCAAATGTATTTATGTCACTTAACCGAAGTAACACTGAAAATACTTCTTAAAGCCTCACATTGCTCAGTGCTATCTTTGTAGAAATAACTGTTTTCTGACTTAGACAGGAAATGAGAATAAAAAGAGCGTGCAGACATTCCTTGTAATAACTACCATTATTAATTGATTACACTGAGTGCTGTGTAGAAGATCAGACTTCTTTAACACGAAACAATTAGTGTGAAAAGCACTGCAGCCTGAAACAACTTCTGCACACCCAGCATAGCAGCTGCTGGGCAGAGCACTTCCCCAAGCCACCTGTGAGATTAACAGCTAATCCCTCTAACCTCTGACAACATAATGCGATGCTACAGATGAAGGACCAAGATTCTTTCTTACCTAAATTCTGCCTGGAATTTTGAAAATCCATTCTGAAACTCAACTAGATTTATCTTATTTATGTTAAAACATGCTTTGCTTCTGACTTTTTTTTATAAGATGGTTAAAAAATAAAGACAAACAAAGGATTATCCAGCTTCTTTCCACTGCAAATTAAAAAGAGGAAAATGTTTAAATTAATTGTAATTCCCTCAGCGTACAGCTTCTCAAACAGCCTGCTGTGAAACACACACCACTAGTTTGTTTTTTCCCCTTGGTTCTAACAGTCATAGTTGTCCGATGATTTTTAATCGAAAGATCACAGGTGTGTTGTTCACCTTCTGTGAACAATGTTTTCATTTATGCATCTAGTAGGCTTCTCATAGAAAGTGCTTTTTTCACTTTGATTTTCTCCCATTTTGTTTGCTGCCCTGTGAAGCAGTATGTTGTCTCCCTCAGAGTTAGAAGAAAACAAATCTAAACCCAAAAGCCCACAGTCTTTTCAGAAATAGATGTCCTAGGCACCTCTGAGACCCACAGACTACCATTTCTCTATCACTCATGTAAGAACAGAAATTGTTCAAAATAAGGACAGAGGCAGATGTCTTTAAGAAACTGCTGTAGTAAGAATAATGACGCCAGGAGCACGTTCTGCTCAGTAGTGAAACCTGGGTGGGCAGTTTTCACCTATAAAATCTTAATTTTCCTGCATTTTAGATATATCACTGGGTCCTGAATTCAGTTGCCATTTTAAAGACAACTATATTTTTGATGAATAACATGAGTTCAGATCTACCATTTCACTCACTGAACTCAAAGATTTTCTTGTGGCAGGAATGGTTATGACAGTGCCCTCAAGAGCACAAGTTATTTCTCAATGATTCCATGGATTGAAGACCTTTCTGGATTTTCTCCATTCCACTGGATAGTCTGATGTTAGTCTGCCATTGTTCTCAGGCAGACCAATGCAGACTTGTGAAAGTTCCTAAATGTAGCTGCATTTCAGCTTTGCATTCTCCCAGTCTCTTATGTTAATTTGAAATACAGAGGAATACAGTGAAGATGTATTGTAGGGATAAGATTTTAGAGAGTACAGAATCACAGCACATTACAGTAACTGCTGGCAGATGAGTGCAACCCATTGTTCAGAATTAGAGTGCTACTGTACTTACTACTCAGTTGAATATGCCTGAATATATTAAGAGAGTTTAATACTGGATACTCTACATACATTTTCCTTTATGTCTTCAGTGACAATCAATCAGTCAAGCTGATTAGAGGCTTTCTCTAATGGCTTGTTCTTCTCTACCTTAGGAAGAAATTTTTAGTTAAAATTGTATAAATAGCAAATGTTTTTTCTCCTCTTTGGAAGTTTCTTAACACCAAACTGTTTAATTCTACTATACAAATCTAATCACACTTCTACCAAATTGTTTTGTAAACTATGAATCAGGTTGGTATTTTTGTACATTTAGAAGCTCTATAATACTCAAGAATCCACATCTTAAAACTATTTTTGCAGTTATAAAATATAAAATCTCTTCTACTAAAATCACATCTGCTGGGAACAGATCTTGCTCAGTATGTCCATTAATCTGTAAAATACAATTATTCACCAGATGTTTTCAAACATAAGGATCACAGAATATATTTGCCATCATCCCATATTGGCCAAAAAAATTCTGAAATACAGAGATGATTTCTATCTGCTCTGTGTGTTTTGATCATCAAGAGGAAACAGACTGCAAAAAGCATTCTTTTTCAACCCAGCTGCTTATATCATAGAATCACCATGGCTGGAAAAGGCCTCTAAGATCATCTAGTTCACCTGCCCACCTATCACCTATTGGTGATAGATTTCCCACTGAATCACGTCCCTTGGTACAACATCTGAATGTTTCCTGAACACAAGATGCATGAGAATTTCTCTCTTTCCATCAGCTTCCACTAATACAAAAATAATAATTAAAAACATAACGCAAACAGCCCTAGAACCATGTTCTAAAGTCACTAAGAAACACATGCACTTGAAATCAAATTCAGTTAAAAAAGCCAGATAATTAATTTTGTCACACAATCTTGCTTTAATCACGGTTCTTGCTAATTACTAATTCAAACATGTATTTGTTTAAGCCGTAAGCCCAGATAATCCTTACTTAAGTAACTGGGCAGTATGCAGGACTTTAAAGTATGACAAGAGATAGCACAGAAGCTCTGAAAATGACGAACACTTCCTGCAAAGCGGATGTATCGTTACGCTTTGTTTTACAAAAAACAACAACCTCCTAGTAGAGGAAAGAGCATTCCTCTTTCCAACAATCACTCCGAGCGCTGCCACATCCCGCACGTTTACCAACAGCTGTGCGGAGATCCTCGAGTCTCCCCGCTGGTCAGAGCGCTCATGCTCTCAGGAAGGAGGGGGAAACAGCAGCCCGGACAGCGCCAGCAGGCACAGCCGCCGCCGGGCAGCGCGGAGCCGGCCGGCACCCCGCACCCCGCGCCCCGCGCCCCGCACCCACCGCGGGCAGCCCGGTACCTGCGGCGCACAGGTAGCAGCGCTCCGCGCCCGAGCCTTCCACCTCGATGAACTCTTGCAGCCGCAGCCGCCGCGGCCCGAAGAGCCTCTTGGCCAGGTCCTCCTTCACCAGTGAGGACATGGCACACGCCCGGCAGCGAGCGATGCGCCGCGGGCCGCCCAGGCTGCCACCGGGGGGACATCGCCGGGCGCAGCCCCGAGGGGCCCCGCTGCCGGCCCGCAGCCCTGCGAGAGCCGCGAAGCTGCGGCACGGGAGCGGCCGGGTGGCACATCTCGCCGCCCCGCCTCCTCCCGCCCCGGGACGGCCCCCGGACGAGCGGCGGTGCAGTTGTTTGCAGCTAGGGGGGAAATTATAGCGTGCTGCTCTTTACATATAGCAAATGAGAGGGCATAAAGACCCGTGCAACAGGAGTGTTCAGAGGGTGGGGGCAGTCAGGGGACGCAGGTGTGTTTCCGTGTATGAGAGGCTGGATACGTCAATGGGAGCGTTTTTGGAAATGGTAGCAGTTCTGCCACGCTGCATGTGGGTGGGTAGCATCTGGTGTACATTTATTCCTCTAATTTATGGATCTGCAATTGCCTGTTTTAGAGTTTTAACTCCTGGCTGCATGTAAAAGTTGAATGAGTAAAAAAAAAAAGAAAATAATAATAATGAGGTTTTTCCAATATTATTAGAATAGTTCAATGCCTGAGACATCCAGGTTCTTTGCTGATATGAAGTGAAAGAAAGCAGGTAACTGCTCCTCCATTGTGTAGGTGTGAAACTAGGGAGAATAACCCTGTCTTGTAGATACTAAATTAGATACTAAATAGATACTGTAGATATTGTAGATATAAATAGATACTTGTAGATACTAAATAGATACTGTAGATATTGCATGGGCTTTTTGGTCCCGTGTATTTAGAGAGATAGTTGTGGTTCTTGAATCTGTTGATGAATTTTCATCTCTGCTTTGGGAAAGCAATATTACTCTAAGCTTTAGGTTTGGGATATATGTTATCAGAAAGCATGAGCCTGCAGCCTTCAGTTCCTCACCACTGGTGTTACCAGCATCACAGTCAGGTCAGTGCCAGTACTAAGTGCCAGAGGCCTCATTGGGAACCTGGTTTTCCCTCGGTCTATAGCTCACATTGCATCTCTGATACTTGGTTGTTCTTGTGCAGGTTTGAAGCAATAGATGAAGAGATGCTAAAGTACCTTCAGAAAAGTATCTTCAGCTCTGGAAGAATTATCTATCAGCTTTCCCTTGTGAGAGGTTCAGCTGATGGCAGTAAAACTGCCTGGATGGTGGGTGACATGGCACTGGCATCCTGGAAGTGACTGAGAGAGCTGAGGTAGTGGCTATGTGGAGCTCTGCTCTTCCCCTCTTGGATGTTCCTCGGATTATCAGAGAGACATTTTGAATTAGGCTTTATTTTTTCAGAATTCTATCAAACTCTAAGTCATTTTGCCTCAGTTTTCACAGGAGTGTTTTTTGGTTTGATGCATTAGCATTATTTTTGTCTTTGGGGATATTCTGCAATACTGATGTTAAGCTGCTCTGGTTAACAGTGTATGTCTGGTATCAGCACGTACCTTAGCAGCTCTGTACTGAAAGCTGTGTCTGGCCGTCGGGGCAGGGCTGTTCAGCTGCTATCTGAGCAGTACTGAAGGGTGCACAGCTGCTAGTTTATCTCCCTCATTCTTGTATAGGCAGAAGTGCTTGGAAGACCTTATGCTGTGATGTAACTGTTTTCTTTGTATCTCCTCTTAAATCAAATTACATTTCAAAAAAAATATTAAAGAGATTAAATTACATCTGCAGTACGCGTTAGTACATTCTCAAATGCTACACCAGGACACTAAGTGACCACACTGAGTATGTAAAGAGATGTTACAGTGATGATTTTAATGTTGAATATTTTAATAAGAAACAGGAAAATCTGTAATTCAGTGTTGTTCTTGATGAGAACACAGCGGGACAGCTCTGGTGAGCTGACAGTGGGATGGCCTGTAGTCATTTGGACAATGACAATCAACGTTTTTTTCTTATCTTTTGTATGCTTTATAGTTAGTTTTTTTTCTCTCTTTATGATTATATTACATTGTGGAGAAACATCTGCCCTATTTTCAAAGTGACTCACAAAATAACTTCTTTCTTCCAATTTCTCTGCTATATTACTGACTTGGGTGGAAGGGAAGTAAGGCTTAGTAGGCTTAGGAATCCTCCCATTCCAGCATGCACAAAGGCAGCTCTTATGTTTCCATGTCTGGTTACCAGCATATTACAGATTTTGTAGGATGATTCTTACAGAAGGTAAAGAGCATCTGCAATGTCTGCACAGTACTTCTTCCCTGCTTACACATTCTTCTGTTGTTTTTGTTTCCTTGTTCTGTTTCTACCTGTTGCTTTTCTTCTGGTGTTATTTCTGTTCTCTTTCTTTTTCCCACTCATATTCAGAAACATACAACTCTTAAGGACTTAGAGGATCTTTTTATGACTCACGCAGTCCCTCTTATTTCACACACAAACTGGGGTTTAGCTGAAAGCAGGTGAGTATAGCCATAAGCATGTATGAAGAAGCATACACAAATCATACTACTGCAGGAAATCGTTCTGTTCTGCAAATTGAAGCTTTCCCATTTGACTCAAATTTAACACTACTCAGAAACTGTCAGTAAGAGCTTTCACCTTAATATGCCTTTTTGCTGGTGTCATTATTTACTGAGTAGAAAAAGCCATGCTGCCACAGTGTTATAGAAGATAAACAGATGTTTTGATCTATGAGGTTTCTGTTCCATCTTAGCCATAATACTGTAAGTCAAAATCCTGACAGTTCATAACTTAAAGGCAACAGTTAGGCAGTAACTTACCCAGCCAGTAAGGGCACATGGATGGTGGTCCAGGACCAGGCTCTGCTCCTGCTGTCAAGCACCACTGTCAGCCCCCCCCTACCTGAGCTCTTCCCACTATATTCACAGATAGAACAAGTAAAACTTTTTGTTACCAATGCCATGAACAAATTTAAATCCAATTTAACATGGATTTTTTTTTTTAACTGTCAACATCACAGATGTTTGTGGAAGCTGCATACCCCATACAACAGTCTCACTGTGATCTACAAAGGGCCTCTCTACAAAATGAAATATTCACCAGGGAATTATGTTAGGCCCTTCTGCCAAATATTAATTATTCCTGTTCCTTTCTGTGCCCTGCCATTTGCATCCAAACTTACATTTTTTCTTTTCTGTATACAGGACATTAATTTTAATAGATGTAGTAGCAGATCCTAATAGGTAAATCTCACCATTTTTAATCTTTGTTATTTCTCAGATTCACTGTTCTGGGAAAAAGCAATTCAACAGCTTCAGAAGCAGTTTTTACGATGAGTCTTTATATTCCTTTGTATCTACTGATGTGCATTAGTGTATACATCTAAATGATTACCCTGGGGCTTGATCCAAAACCCATTAGGTCAGTAATAAGATTTCCTTTAATTTTGGTGGGTTTCAGAGTAGCCATTAGTTGAGCCGCACAGCAGTCACCGTGTTTTCTGTTCACAAAAATGAAAGGATTACCGATGATGTTTGCAACTGTTTTTAATGAATAAACTTCTAGCATTTATGAAAACAGTCTTAAGAAGCAAATAACGACTGGGCTAAGGCAATGTAGAAAAGACCAATTTGCTACCTTGTTATCCTTCCACCATCAGTAGCAGAGGGGCTGTCCCCCAAGAAAGGCAACTCAGGAGCTGAGAGTGACATTTCCTTATTTTTTAAGCACATTGACCACATCCTGCTGACTGGAATAAGGCATGAAAAAGATATCAGTAGCTCTTCTCAAAACAGGTGGGAATTTGCTGTGTTCTGCATGATGAAGCACTCTGGAGGTATATATTTGTTCTCACATCTTAAACTCCCAGCAAGTACCACACCCTTATAAAGCAGTGTTCACTGGAGCATTGCTCCTTGCTTGACAATGTTATCAAACAAAAGGAAAGAAGGAAAACGAACCTAGGCTGAAAAACCTTATTTACCACCATTTTATTTATATGAGGATTTATATTGCTCTAGCTATTTCTGTTTGAGGTTTCAGCCAGTTGTGGTTTTCTCAGCTTGTACTCAATTCATTGTCCAAAAGTATTCTTCACATCTTTAAGGCTCCTGACTGCGTATTTAACATCTCAAATGAGGTTTTAGAATATTTTTCAACATTTCCATTTCATACTCTACAGGGACCTGGTTGTGTAGAGAGATTTATGAGGCAATATTCTGAATGATCATTACTTTTTTCCCTTTTTTCAATGATTTGCTTTTCTCAGGCTTGTTTTCCCACTGATGTTTACCTAAAAGATCTGACTCCAAGCCATGTCTACTTATTGGTATGTTTTGACAGCCAGGAAACCTCGATCTCTGTGCACTGAAGCATAAAAGTAGTTAAGTTGTGCAGAAAAGTGTAAGCAGCAAAAGAGGTAACACTGTTTCATGCAGAAATGTTATTCAGTGATGTACAGCTGGAGTTACTGGTTCAGTTTTAAAGTAGAAGTGTAGACATACACATGGGAAGATAGCAGTTGGTTAAATTGCACTGTTTTTCTCCTGAATTCCTTTTGTGTTCCCATTAAAAGAGTGCTATACTAACTTCATGATATGTGGATGCTAAAGCAGAGGATGACTTAAGATCTCATCAATTCTGATAAATACCATTAAAACTCAAAAATAATTGTTTTCCTTAGTGATGTAACTAGTCAATTAAAAAAAAAAAAAAAAAGTAGCATTATTCTCTTTTCTTGAAAGGAAGGAGAAAGAGTTTGGGATTTTATTTAACTAAAGCTCTAATTTGTCAAATTTATTCAGAGCACTGTAATTCATCATTCTGAAAATGCAGTCAAGACTGTTGCTTGGAAAACAATACAACAGCATGCCAAAATTCCACCAAAAGCTTTCCTTTAAACCACTTTTTCATAGAATAGTAAATAGATGCTATTTTATGGATGAAATTTACACAGGTTGAAACCTAAAATACACATAAGCAGTAACTCTATGAAAAAAGTTGA